GTGCAGACCTGCTCGTGTCGGATGAGCGTGTGGTTTCCTCAGTCCCTCCTGTGGGGACAGAATGTGCCTGTACCAGGGTCTGTTTCTGGAGGCGGTCCTGGTGGCATCTGTATTCCGGAGTGCACTTTGCTGTTAGCTTGGGTGCCGGGAACATGGCCCTACTGCTGAGACCCTGCCGCTCCCGCAGAGTCTGGTAGGGCTCCAGAGCGCTCACGGGCATGCTGATTTACAGGCAGGCTGCCCTTACTGCAGGCTTCCCGCCTGCGTTCACTGGCCTCAGAATGGCAGTGCTTGGCGTCTCCTAGGTCCCAGTACTTAGGGCTAGCCAGGTGCGCTCCTGCCCAGGGTGGTGGCAGAGGCTGCTAAGGTTCTGCAGCAAAGGGGAGTCCCTTCATCTTAGCCTGCCGATCTCAGCTGGCTGGGGCTTTCGTTCTTTGTCTTTGGGTTTCCATGTTTCAGAAATCTTCAGTTGTTTCCTGGATAATTTCAAGGATTTTTCCTTACACATTTCTGCTGAAATACATCAGTCATTTTTATTTTATTTTATTTATTAATTTTTTTTGGAGAAGTTTTTGCTATAGGGAGCGTGTGCTTGCCAGAAAGACAGAGAGAGACAGAGAGACAGAAAGCGAGAAATCACCCCCAGGGGGGATGGCCACGCCACAATCCCCTCTCCTCCATTCTCCTCTCGGGATCTTGGGCACGCACGCACACGCACCTGGCGTGAGTTTAAGCCACCGGGTTCGGGAGGTGAACTGCAGTCGACTGCGTGGGAGTCCAGCGACACAGCCATTACGCCAACTGCTGGCCTGTAATTTTGCCATATTGTGAGTACAGAATGTCTGCAGCACTGCTACCTTACGGAACCGACCCAGTTCTCCTCTGTCTTAATATGTGGTCATTTCAGAACACCCTTTGCCCTTGACAGAGCGTAAGTGTGCGTGTGCACGAGACCGAGTGGGAGACAGAGCTACCCTCCACGGGGTCTGGTCGTACTGAGTCTTCCCTCTGCCTGCTGGACCTTGGGTGCTTGGGCATGTGGCATGTTTCAGGCTGACAGGGCCGGGGGCTTGAAACGAGATTGCCCCGTGGGATCTGGCCTCTCGGGAGCAGTGGCGACCACAGTACCACATAGCCAGCAGTGTCTGGTCTTCCCATACGTGTCCCTGGGTGTTTCGTGCATGTCTGGAAGGGTGTTTTCTCTGTTACTGAGGCATGAACGTTGGTATCACGTCTACAAGGAACACAACTTCTGTATCTCCTAATTCCTTTCCTCTCAAATACTTGCCCAGTCGTTAGCCTTGGGCTTGGGGGTGGACCTGCTGACAGGTATGTGCTGGGAACGGGGGAGTAGGACCCGTCGGTCGGGACCTGGTGGCGTGGGGGGAGTGGAGGCGTGCACTGTCCTCACCTAGCCGGTCTTGCCCGCTGTGCTCACTGGCCGGGCTGGAGGACGGGCGGCTCTGACCAGCAAAGGCGGCTGAGCCTGAGCAGCTCTCCGTGAGAACCCACGGCCCGTGGGCGGAGGGCACAGCGCGGTGTGGCCTTGGAGAGGACCTCCCCTGCTCTCACTGGTTGGACCTACCAGCTCCCCTCCTTATGGGCTGTGAACTACGTCTGCCGTGCAAATCTCTGGGCTGGATTTGGCGGGAGGTGGAGAAACGGTCCAGGCCTTCTCTTAGACCCGTCTCGCCACAGGGGTCGAACTCCCGTTGCGGCCTTCTGCCCTCATTGGTCAGAGAGCACGGGCCGTCTCGACCGTCCTTACCCTGCCTCTGGGGCTGGGACGGGCCGCGTCTGTGCCCTGCGCCGTCCCCAGCCTCTCCGGCGCTTTGCAGGACCCACGTCTCGTCACTCAGCGATAGCAGCGGCACTTGCTGAAAGCTGCAGGAATTCGAAATGCCCTTGACACCTGCGGGTCCCTTCACCCGAGGTCTGAACAGCATCAAGTTCAAGTCAGCGGCCGCCTCAGGAAGGTGGCCCAGGCACGGAGGGCGGCTGGCCCTGGCCTCGTCAGCAGAAGACGTAAGCACCTCAGACTTCCAAAGGGCGTGTCCGGTTCCCACCCGAGCATGCTATGGGGCTCCACCGCAGCATCTCACCCTCCCAGGCTGTGCCTCCCCCCGCTGAGCTGCCCGGTGGGCGCTGGGGTCCTCGTGAGTCCGAGCAGTCTGCACTGGAGACCAGCCCCGGTCACCGAAGCACTCGAGGTTAGCAGCAGTCCCCGACGGGGTGCCTGCCTTGTAACTGCACGTGGCAGGCGTGCGTGCTGTGTCCGGGCACCCCCCACCCGGCTTCGTAGTGTGGCTGGCTTGCTGTTCAAGACCCACGGTT